ATTCTCTCTTGATAACCCTAAACCCAGGAAACCTCGAAAGCCAGTTTTGGGGAGATGACATTGAAGGACTGCTTGGTTAAGGTTGAGGTGGTTGCTGGGTCATCTGCCGAGAAAATAAGATCTGGGGTATGTTTATGATATGGTTGATCCTAAACCAAAAAATCAGTGTACCAAAACTTATCTGATCAAACGATGTTGTAGAGCTATCACGTCGATCATTCAATCAAGTGTGTTGTAATTTGGCCGAAGCAAGGATTGTGAAAAATGCCCATCACAGAAGACATCAATCGCCTCGATAAAATACTTGTTAAGATTTTGGGTTCTATTTAAGAGGTCAATCTTATTAAAATGAGTATCCCATTTTTTTATAAATTGGTCTATGTTTTTATCTTTATTCGATATCGGATTATATCCCTTAACATGCCCCCTAAAAGATGGCGGTTAGTTTGAACAGATCAATCTTTAAATTCTTTTGCTCAGTTTTAATCGGATCGAATCACTCGTTGGAGCTTAAGGGGCTATGATACTATATTAAGATTTTGGGTTCCAATCTTAAAAAGTCAATATTTTTAAGAAGAGTAGCTCAAACTCTTATAAATTAATCTATATTTTCATCTTTATTCGATATAGGGTTCTATCATTTAACAATACTCCAGCAAAAAGGTGATGCCATGCTTAGAACCCAAATTCTTATAAATTAGTCTATATTTTCGTCTTTATTCGATGTAAAGTTTCATCATTTGACAATACTCCAGCAAAAAGGTGATGCCATGCCTAGAACAACACTTTCTGGGCAAGGTGTCCAATGACAAGGTCTCATCGCCTCAGAGGGCACACGTGGAAGTGGCGATGCGCGACTGAGTGCGTATCTTGCGTGATCTCTTGCCTAGCTCGGTCAACAGATGGAGCCCGTCGGATTCAAAGGTCAATAAGAGCAAAACAATCATCTCAATGGTTGTAAGTTTCTATGATCTAACATCTGTAGCTGGACTGAATTATGGATCGTTTCATGGTATTTCAGTCCGATTTTAACTGCATTGATTTAATCATGAAGGGATGTTATTAAAGCCCCTGTTTGACACCCATTTTTTCTCATTCTCATTCTCATTTTTTTTTCTCTTTCTTCATTTCAACCACACATTCTATCAATAAAATAATACTACACATAAACCCAAAAATTTTCATTACTTTTTAATC